CCTCACCAAGGTCTCTTTAACCCTTAATGTTATTTTTAAGAATAAATTATTAAACATTGCGCAAAATAATTCCCATACCGAATTTCGATGGATTCAAAGCATCACCGAGTCAATGTTTTAAACAAGCAAATACTAGTTTCTAATTTTCGAAAGCCTTTCAGAAGTAACTCGTGTAGCCAAAAGTTGAAATGATGGCCTTTTTTAAATATGTACGAATTGTACATAAGTAAATAAGATGGTTCTTTCTTAAAATTAAATAGAGTTTAAGTATTCAATTTTTTATAAATTTAAATATTTTTTTAATTGATTTCAGATATCACTCGACTAAAACGTCACATTTTGATCAGTCCGAATAGGAATGTACTATCGACATTAATTTGACTTCTCAGTAGTACATCAACTGACTACAAGGCTGTCAAATATTTGAAGGCCAAGTTTTAAGGGTAATTTCTTATCCACAAAACTTCTTCCTTTACCCCCCCCCCCCCGTCTATTGAGAATTCGTCCCCGACTGGCTGCGTGGTTAGTTTTCGTCGTTTTCTCCACGTGTAACGTGAATACGAACTAGTTTCCTTTACAAAGTCAGCCCACCAGCGGCCGAGCGGTAAAGACGCTGAACACTGGTAGTTCGGTGCGAGGTTCGAATCCCGCGAACGGGCTGGTTGCATGGGCGTTTTCGTGGTTTTCCCCATGTGTAACGTGTATACGAGCCAGTTTCCCTTAGAAAGTCCTCCACGAAAGGCATCCCTCCCCTTAGGCAGATAGCCCTAGTGTACTTTGCCATAATTAAATACACCACACCACACCTTTACAAAGTCCTTCATGAAGGCATCCATCCCCTTTGATTAACAAACATTCTATGCTTTGACACATTCAAATAACCTAACCGTTTTTTTTCCTCGTCACTTACGTAATTTTCCGGTTGCTTTTCTTTTTTTCAATTATTTTTTTACTAAACAAATTATAGCTTCCCAAACCTATATCTATCCACCCAAAATAAGAGCGATTCAACCGACTGAAATAATTATTAATCATTCTCTGCTGCATATTGCTTGTAAATATCGCTACACACATTTGATGAACTTGTGATAGTGCGTTTTAAGGAAAAAAAATGAATAACTTTTAATTAAAAATTGGTTTAAAATAATTATTTTAATATACCTCTTTTTGTACAGAAAGGGGTTTCAAGAGCAAGCACGTTTTGGCATTGGAGCGAATGGGAAGAATAATTTTAGCTTGAAGATCTTACGCCTAAATAAAGCAAAGGATTAAATTTTTTAATTTAACTTCATTTTTAAAAGCAATTTCTTTAACATTCGCCATTATTAAGATATATTGCAACAAAAATTAAGCACAATTAATAGAAAATTTAAGCTACAGTTTAATATTTAATAAACATAAATGCTTGCAGCTCTTAAGTGGATAGCGACACTGAATTTACGATCCAACAAAAGGCTGTTTCTTCTTGTTTTCATTGCTCACAAATCAAAGGAAAAAGGAAATGAATGATAGTAAACTTCCCCGTCTGGTATGTCAGCTTTTCAACCTTTAAAAAAAAAAAAAAAAAAAAAAAAAAAAACCTGAGCATGAGAACGATAAATGGCACCTTACAATAAATACTTGAACTTCTTAACAATAATGTTATCAACAACGCTTTAGTATTATCACTGAAATTCTTCGAAAACGAAACGGGCAATGTTTGTTTATTGACATTACGGTTGAAATGATATCTGCAGTAAGACTGATAAGTTTTATAATTTTCGACAATAATTATACTTAATTTTAGCATTAAAAAAAAACTTAAAAGCGTTTTAAATATAATATACTATGCAGAGGCTTGCCGATATATGTTAACAGAGATCCAATATATGTTAACAGAGATGTTAACTAAAGAAGTAGTCTGTAAAACGTAAGCATCTGCATATTCAACCCTTTTTATCATTATTATTTTATTTTATTGCCGATACTACAATCTACTATAACGATAAATACAGTCTTTTTTTTTTTTTCAAATTCCACATCTAATTTTAGAATACAGATTTTCACATAGCTAAATCTTACATGAAGTAAATGGTGTATAATCTGGCAAACTATGTATATGGTAATTGCACGAGGGAACAGCAATCGACATCGAGCATCGATCAAGTGTATATCATTTAAAAATTTATTTTATTTCATTACACAGCATTAATTTCAATTCAGACGTTCAAAAGTCCAATTATAAAATAATTAATAAAATCTTTGTACTAGGTACGTAATCGTTTTCTTTTCGTTATTATAAAATAATTATAAATTAAAACTGATTCCGACAGCGTTTGTTTTGCACTATTTTCCATAGTTGTTACCGCTTCTCTGGATACCTTAGATAAATTATACAGGCAGTCCTCAATACACTATCTGCACTCTGATTTCAGTGCCCAGGTTGCTCCTTCCATCATCGCAAGAGATGGTCCTGTTTCGTACTTATTACTCTATATAATTGATCGCTGCATTGAATTATTGTTTTTTTTTTTAAAATTCAGATGACTTATTTATATGGGGATTCTGTTTCTTTTTGTCAGTTTTCATAGCATTCTATTCAAACTTTCTTCTAAACAAACAAACAGGTGTGTCTTTAAGAACTGTAATAAGTGTAAAACACGGCTAAGTAAATTTGTTTCATACGGAATTGTACACCTAGATTTTTTTTGTTAGAAAACAGGTCTCCGTTTAGAACTTTCTAAAAGAAAGTGGCTCGGATGAGCGTGATACATAGGGAAAACCCCCAATTCTAAGCAATCAGTCTTCTCCCTCACCATGAATTGATCTTGAAATTGAATGTTAGTATTCAGAAACTTAAATTCCTCTGCCACTTGTGTGGGGAAGGGGGCGCAAAATGTTAGTAACAACCAAACAGCAACATTGTTCTTTTAGAAAAATACCCCTCTGCTGTGGGTGACATTTGATACTTAAGTTTAGAAGTGTTAAGTTGATGGAATGAAACTCAACATATTATATGTTGATAAATTTTTTTGAAATGTATATCTAACGACCAGTGCAGGATTTGCGTATAAGCTGCACAAGATATGGCTTAGGGTCCCCCCCCAAAAAAAATTAAAATATAGTAAATATAGCATTAAATATAGTAACACAGACTTATAAGGGACCCCATATCTCAAATAGCTTAAGACCTTATCAAGCCTAAATCCGGCTCTGCTAACGTCAGAAATTTCAGAAGCATCAGATGACAAAAACAAAAGTGTTCTTGCACTTTTTTCGGAGGGGAGACTGTATTTTCTTTTTCTTTTTCTTTTTTTTTTTCATTACTTTACTTTATGGTTTATGTTTTATACATATCTGGCCATTGAATTTATTTTACTGTATGATTATGGAAGAGAAGAAAACTAAAATGCAGAGCTTAGGGACCACTTTTTAAATTTTACATAAAGCCTTCAGCTGGTGTAGCAGTGTACGTTTAAAATACATCTCCGCGATGTTACATTTTTCTATACTAAGTGAACGGAGAAAAGTACGCCTATTGGAGGGTTAATCCTGAATTCAGTCAATATTAGTTGTTATTTGCAGTAGTCATTTGTATATTGTGGAGCGTATTTTGATCTTTATTTAAGTCATTGCAGCTTTTTTCTAGGATTGATTATTGCCATTGCCGTGTGGCTGTTTTTTATGTCTATAGAAAAGTATCAAAGATGTATTCGATACAAAAGAGAACAGATATAAATCTTGGATCCTAATGATGCACGTTATTAAATTTCCTGCCAACATAATGTCTTGGTCAACATAATATCAAGGTAATATTTCTTGCACGATTTGTATATAATTCAGCTTTTGAAAATTCCCCAAATTTGTCTACTACAGAGGAACTGAACCATTGTCTGAAATAAATAATAATTAGAGTATAACAAATTCTGGAATTCTCAAGCTGAGGAAGAACTCGATTCTATTCAATAAACCCATATTTTTCATGGATTAAGCGTACTTTAAAGTTATCCCTTTACACCTGCCGAAAATTTCGAATATATAGATCTGATTTACTTGCTTCGTTGAAAGGAGACCTCAGCCAGGAGTTTCATTTTCATGCAATTGTATGGACTAAGGAAATATTGGCCATATACGGTCGTTCAGCCGGTATAGTGATTAGTGACGCTGACTGCCACAGCCTGGTTTCGAATCCTGGAGAACTGTCCGTCCCTTCGTGGAAGGCAACAGTGGCCACCTATTTGGTGCTTCTATAATGAAATGGTCACCACTTCCGGCCCTTGTAATAACGCAAGGCTATTAAATAAATCTCCAGGCCAGTTTTTTTTTAAAGTTGGCCATAAAGGAACAAACTTGCTATTGGTAGTAGTACAAAAGGTGATGTTTAATTCAATTTTAACCGCAGGTTGTTCTTGACTCAATGTCAACTCGAGAAACAATTTTATTTTAGATAAATGATTTTAAACATTATCGATTTTCATTTTCCGTACCTGAGACGAAAATTCCAATGATACATAAAAATATTTTATGGGATTGCATTTTGGATTATAAAACTTCTGTATAATTAATTTTACTCAAACTCGATTTCTGTTTTGCACATTTACAAGATTGTCTCAGCTTCTCATTATAGGAATGAAAAGGAGTAGAAATGTTTAAATGAAATTTAATGCTGTATTAATACTGACTGTATTAGGAAAACTCATAGGGTACTGTCAAGGAGGTTAGAATACATTTGTCCTGTTTTTTGTCTTAGTCTATTCAAACAGTCTTCTAGAACACCTGCTTTCAACGGATTTAGATATCACATTTGTTATCTGTTTGTGTTATATGAGCCCTCATGTAATAGTCATATACAACTGTCTTTCTACTTAGGTTTGTTATTTCTCGTCTTTGGAATACAGTTTGTACATCTTGACACTCGAGAATACGATCTGTGTGTATGTAGGCGAAAAGTTATCGTTTTTTTTTTGGTTGACAAATTAACGTCATAACTTCAACTACTACTATACACAACATTCTGCATACTGAAATTTTCTTCCAATAGTTGTTAATCGTCGGCCAGTTGCTTATTCTTTCATCTTATATGCTATTGCGTTCCGTTTCTTTCAAAATGATTATATTAGTGTTTACTTAAAAGTGTATTATTTTCTATGACAATGGTATCCACTATACCAGTGGCAGGTACAGTGTCTATTTTTAATACGCACGAAGATTCGAAGGATCAGATATTGTTTACACTTCAAATAGCAGTAAAACAGGTCAGTAATGCAGAATATGCAGTGTTGTTATTGTTTGTAAACAATTCACTGATGTAACTGGAATACAGTTATTAAATGTGGGTGCTTTCATATTTATCTCTTCAGAAATTAAGCGCGTATATAATGAGTTTACTCTAAACATGTTACATTATTGGATTATTTTATTTGTTCTTTTTGTCTGTTAAAGCGTTCTTTCTTATTACGGCAAAAATAAACTGTAAATAAAAATTACCTATCAATATGATTATATAAAAACTTTTATTTGTAATTAAAGCTTAAAATCTCAGTTTCTTGACGAGTGTCTAGAAATGAATCCGTAATTTTTTTACTCGGTTGTGTCTCATCAAAATTTGTATTTTCCTTCGTTCATTCCTTATATGGTATAGTAAATATTAGTTGTAAATTGGAGAGGGAATGTTTATAATATTGACCTTTTATTCTTGTATGCTGCATGTGTTGTATGTTTTGCTGTCTACTTGTTTATGATTGTTGCTGGGAGAATAATATGAAACATGATAAATTTATATGTATAACATATTAAAATTCATTTTGGTTGATCTTTACAATATGGTAACTGGTAGTTTGGCGACATTTTGGAGGCGATAAAGGTTACTACCTGGGACTTTGGTAATAATGTGAGCAGTACTCAGTTCCGATTACGCATTATTTTGTGTGAGGGAAATGAGAGATCATGGGATATGTCATGTGATATTAATGGACAAATTACGGTTCTTTAATCGGAAAAGGGGGGAAATCCGGAAAAAATCTGGAAATTTTGTATTTGACTTTATTCTGTGTTGTGTGAAACAGTGTTCGTGAATTTTTGGATCCCATGGCTGTAACTAAAGTGAATTCGAAATGGGTATTTATGTATATATTAATTTAATGTATGTGCTCATTTATATTTTAAGTAGTGTTTTTGAATTTAATTATATTTTAATTAAATGATAAGTAGTGTTTTTGAATTTAATTATATTTTAATTAAATGATAGTTATTTTGTGAATTTTATGTTTGTAGGAATTTGGTATACGTTTTAGTTGAAGTAAACGTACATGGAAATAATTTAAATATCTTACACTAAGTATTTGTAATGGTTGCGGTATGAATTCGTTGGTGACGTGTATAATGTAATAGATGATTTAGAGGTAAAAGTTTTTGGATATTTTATTTATTTTATATGTGGAAATGTTCATATTTGGAAAGGGTAAATACTTTTTCGCGATCAGGTAATTTCATATATGTTCTTTTTACCGGGTTTAAAGATTGAGAAAATTGTCATGTATTTTCGTGGAGAAAAAAGCAGTGTACATGGATATAGTGAAGAGTGTGCGCAATGCCATTTTTGTGCAATTCTGGGATTTTTTTTAAGTAAAAATAAGTCGGCATGTACATGGTTTATGTGTATGTGTTATTTTGAAAAACGCGTAAGGAGTATGGTATTGTGCACTCTTTCCCAATTTTGCAGTGAATATTTGTCATGATTAAGCAGTTTTGTTAGATAAAATTTCTAGCATAAGTGTAATTCGGCTAGTAGATTGTTGGAAGAAGTGTTCAGTAGATAAAAAGAAAAGAAACATGTCTTTACTTCGTGAAGACAAAATGGCGGCGGGAAAAAAAAATAGAGGGTTGCTGTAGGAGAGTTGGTCGCCAAAAAAACGCCAAGTTACCATAATGTAAAGATCAACCTTTTTTATTTTAATTTTTAATTTTTATTAAAAAATAATATATAAAACTGTAACATGAAAATAAAAATTATAAATATGTATGTCTGTACATATGAAATAATAGAATTAGGGATTTATTTTTCTTTATTTCATAATTTTTTCTTAAAGGACATTTTGTATTGTACAAAAGAGTGTAAATGATTGCTGAAAAATATTTTAAAATGAATTTATCACCAGAAGTCTGTAAGTTTAATAAATACTGCAGACAATAAACATTTGAATTCTGTATTAGGACAAACCCAGAACAAAATATTGTCATTAGTTTTTTCTAGAACACTGAAGAATATCTGTTGTAAAAGATTGGAAATAATATAAAATCATTATATATTGTAATCTTAAGAACCCACAATTGTTATTAAATTTTTAGCTGAGTAAAGAACTCCCAAGAAAACTTTGTGTGAAGAGTGCATTTTTTTTAATTGATAGAGAAACAATCTACAGTGGTTTTGATACAAAAAAAGGTGACTGTTGTACTGTGCTGTCATAAAGTTGTTACATTCAAGCTGCAAATTTTTAAAGTAGTAGTATTGTTTTATTTATATCATTATAAATTTTTAATAGCAAATTGTTTTATTTATATCATTATGAATTTTTAATAGCAAATTAATTGTTTTATTTATATCATTATGAATTTTTAATAGCAAATTAATTGTTATAACATTAGTATTAATTTTTTAATTTAAACTCTTAGTAGGATATAAGGTTAATCTTCGGATTATGGTAACTTGGCGAAAATTTGGCGACCAACCCTACTACAGCAACCTGCTAGTTTGTTTTTGGACGCCATTTTGTTTTCACGAAGTAAAGGCATTTTTTTTTTTATTCAACATTTTTTTTCAACAATCTGCTAGCCGAATTATACTTATGCTAGAACTTTCATGGAACAAAAGTGCTTAATCATGACGAAGATTAGGTGCGAAATTGGGAGAAAGTGCAGAATCGCCCACTGCTTGCCGCGTTTTTAAGAATTGCACATACACGGTATCCATGTACACGTTGATCTATTTTCACTTAAAAAAACATCCCAGAATTGTACAAAAATGGCGTTACGCACACTCTTGACTTTATCCACGTACACTGCTAAAGTCCTAGCTAGTAACCTTTATCGCCTTACCAATATGTCGCCAAACTACCTGTTACCATATTCTAAAGATTAGCCGAATATAATGTTATTATTTAGTTGATGCTTCTAATTTTGTCGAGAAGAATTTACAGAAGCATTACTTTATAGATTCAGCATTACAGTTGTCTTCAAAATCAAGACGATGGACTTTCAGCTGATGTGAAGGAAGTAAAACAACTTTGTGAAAGTCTTGATAAAGCACTTCTACATGGGTAAGTTTTTGAATTTCATAATTTAAGTACAAAATACAGCAAAACAAAGAAAGAAAAGCTGTCTATAAAATAACATTTACTTACCCTGATTAAGTGCTGGTGACTGTTGTTTGTCATGCAGTTAGCATTAGGCCCTGTCCAATTCCACTTTTGAACTTTTGATGTGTATTTTTGTTTCTCTTTATATCTGTGAAGCTGAAAATTGATTTCTGTAATTTTTTAATATGGTTAAGAAATTCTCAGAAGTTGCTGCATAACAAGCAGAAAGTACCTTGTACTAGTGTGCTGTGTATGCAATGAGTATTGCATAGGTAACTTATTACTGACTGACTAAATTTTTCCTTTTCTTTTTTACTAATAAAGGTATATGCTTATACAGTAACTTAAAGAAACAGTTTTGTGGTTTTGTATTAGGGATTATAGGAAATAAATGAAAATCTGCGAAGTTAAAATAGGGTACTTTTCCGTTTTGCCGGCGCAAGCGATAAAGTCGCCAATAATGGTACAACCGATGTCAAACGGAATATTCTGGCTGGTAACCTTTTACGCCTCATTTTCAAAACAAGTCGCAGCTTTTTCTAATCAGATTGATTGGTTCTTTCAATACTGGCATATAATTACATAGAATTTTTATCAGATAGTTCAGTTTTATGTCTAAGGCCATTTTCGGTAATTAAGTCAATTAGGATGCAATCACAGCTCTTACCCGAGCCGAAAATATAGAAAAGGGAATTCAAGGGTTAAATTCGTCAATTCTAATGAGAATGCATTAGTGAAGTAAAGCACTGCAGTTTTACATAATTTCTGAGTAAGCTATTCGTACGCATTGAAATATTTCTTGCATTTAAACTTGTGTTCCAAATTAAGATTTAACTTGAAATTAATGTAGATAATTACTGAGAGCATTAGATTTTTGTAGAGTAGTTTACGTGAGATGAGATCGCTTGGGGTCACGTGATATGAACCGGCGAATTAGGATGTTGAACCATGAAAGCATAGTAAATTCTTAAATTGAACGCATAGTAAATTCTTAAATTAATGTCTTTTTACAAATTTATTGTCTTTATTTATTGTCTTTTTATAAAGTTTTAAGCGATATTAAAATGTTTATGCCTTCAAAAAAAAAAAAAAAAAAAAATCTTAGAACTAAAATTTTTTTAATATTTTTTATGTGTATACTGTATGTTGTCGCCAATAAAGTCTGCTTGGCGAGATTTGCGCCGGCGAAATGGAAAAGTACCTAAAATAGTTTTAACATAAAGTATTTTAGTACCTGAACATAGAATCATACTTAAATTACATAAGAAAGAAACTTCACTAATTTTTGGTCAGGTTAGTTTTATATGGCTAAAGCATTGTCTGTTTTTAGTCGTACCTCGATAATGAGCTATATTTGTTATTTTTAAAAATTTGTATATAAATTTAATTTCTGTATTTTTTTTTTTTTTTTTTTTTAATGCTTTGAATCTTTTCAGGTTAAAATATTTTGACAAAGGCTACTGGGCTTTTGTAAAAGAATTTACGCACAGTAACAATGTAAAGTTCCTAGAAAAGCTAGAGAATGTGGATACTGATGTTCAGTGTGGAAGAGCCTGGTTAAGTCTTGCTTTGAACGAAGCAAGTTTGGAGAGTTATTTTCGTTCATTTACACAAAACTTGCGTGTTGTCAAAAAGCACTATGAATCTCTAGCATTATTATGTGATGAACAGGTAATCAGTAAAAAAATTATTGGTTATGCTTTATTTTAATAACCTCTCATTAACTGTTTGGTAACTTATCCATGTAAACATTGTCAAGTCTATGAAACAAAAGCTTTACTGCAGTGTTGGATATTTTTTGCGAGATCATATTATATTTATAAAAAGTATCTGTTCAAGATTCACCTTGTCAACTCTGAAATCTGGCATAGAGTTAATATGCCGTATCTTGCAGTAAATAGCCATTTCTTTTGCAGCAACCCAATATCTACTATTTTCTACTCTGTTCACTAAACAACTAAAACAAGCATATATCCAAATTTTAATCATTCATTCATTTTATATTGAGCTCAACACTGGATTTGATAACGACTTTTTTAAAGAAATGATTTAAATTTTCTTTGTCTGAATTTATAACATATCAAGAGAGGCTCTGCCCACAAGTGAGAATTTAATTGTGATATTAAGTGTGGTTTTATTCCTTTTCTTTATATTTGCATCACGATAGCTGTGAAATATAAAAAGCTGTAATGTGATATATCTAGCTCTCTCTCTTTCTATGTAAAACCATGAAACTTCTCTATTCAGACAGTGAATATTTTATTAACAATTGTGTTGCCATATAAAAATATTTCGCTTGTGCTGTTAAGTTATATAGTATATAATTTGAAATATATGAAAATATCAGGTAGTTAGGAATAATTCTTCACCTTCTAATGCTACTTTATTTATTTATTTCTTCTGTTGCAGAAGCATTTTTTAAAAATTTTATAGTATAATTATAAAAACATATATATATGCTAAAAATACAGAAGTATGAATATTAATAATCATAAGTGTTTTTCCCAAAGCTCCAAATTAGAATTTAACCAATAGAAAAATTAAAAAAAGTTTATAGGAGCAAAATATAACAGTCATACAGTTAAAAATATGAAAACATTCGTAAGTAATAAATGGTAAAATGATCACGTGACATGAGAGACCTCGGTAACTTCGAGTGAGTACCGTATACGTTCATGTAATATCCGCACTCATGTAATGTCCATACCCCAAATTTACAGAAAAAATTTGTGTAAAAAAAATGTGATCCGTACAATGTCTGTACCCCAAAAACTAAAGAATTTCTTACTTTAAAATATATTTTCTTAATATCGCCTCTTTTCCCTTCAGTCAATAACATTAGTCAATAAACATCTTTAATGATAGAATATGCATTTGTTTTGTCTTTGGTAGGTGCCAGGAGGGAAAGCAAAGACTTTCCTTGCATTCTAGTGCAGCTGTTATTCAGTCATAACATCGGTGCCAGCAATCCACTGGGCAGACATGATAATAAATAAAGGCAGTCCAAACAAGTTTTCACCTCACTGGCTTCTAAGAAATACTGTTTTGTAATGAAATTACTTTCTCCTCCTTTCTCCTTGGAGTATTTGCACATCACTTTTCTCAGAATACACTTTTTAGATCCTGGAGGGTCAGGGAAGGCATTTGCATTTATAATTTGGTGTCCTAAGGCATCCCACACAGCCTCATTTGGGTTAAATTGGATGATTAAGCTAGCCAGTCCATTTGAATAGTATCTTCTGTTTTCAGGTATTCCGACAACAGAGGTGTTTGATGTATACTGTCATTATTATCTATAAGTAAAAGGTCGGGGTGAACAGCATCCATAAATTGCCTTACATGAGGTTCCAAGACCTTGCTGACATATCCATGACTGATTACAAAAGCTACATGAAAGCTATATAGGTGTTTGTATTAATTCAGTTTCAAACCATGGAAATGTTTCCATGAACGTTGAAAGGCAAGCTATGTGTTCTTATCCCCTATGGATCAGAAATATATCTAGGTTTCTAGATTCACAATTCAGGCTATATCTGGATTTGTCTGTAAACAGCAGATGGTCTCATTCCTTTTAGCTGCACTGAGCATGATTATGACATTTCCTTAAACAAGTCTTTTTCTTAATATGTTTATCTTCCTATTGTTTCCTATACTTTTCACTACACACAAGCATAGAGAATATCAAAAATGCTTCTAATCTTATCACATGGACAGGCATTTATAGAAAGGAATTTTTCTATTAATAAAAAAATGAAAACTGACAATTTAAAAGATTCATCTTGTATGTCTCAATGCATCATCAGTGGCATAGCAAAGTTGGGGCAAAGGAAGGCATGTGTCCCCGGGCGCAGCATTCATGGGCTGCCAAATTGATGTTGCAAAATTTTAGAATGAAATATTTTTCATTCTTGGCATACAGAAGGGGGTTGCAAAATCTTCATTTGTACCTGGGCGCTGAAAACCCCAGCTACATATTCGTGCATCATACACATGGCTGGCACTATACATTTTCCCACCTGATTCAATATCTGTAGATCCTAAATTCGAAAATTTTGCCATTTCTAAATTTTGTTCGTTGGTGTATCACTAAATTCTAAAACTTCTACTATGCTGGCTCTATAACCATCCCTTAGCATATATCATTTCATATTTATTCCAAATGTTCACATTACTAAAGAAATAAAATTAGCACCTTTTCCTATACAATCCACGTGCATTTAGTTTTTTAGAATAAGTAGATCCAAAAATTCTAAAATGAAGAGAAAACATCATGAAGAAAGAAACCAAATGCATAAAGAGAAAGAAAATTATTCTTCAAAGATATGTACAGTTATTATTATGTAAATTAAGCAGTCGTTTATAATTTCAGCCTTTGCTATAATTTTCTCTTTCCGTTTCCTCACCAGAATGAAAATCACTTAGACAGTTTTTTTAAACTAAGGTTTGGGAGCTGTAAGACAGAATTTGTTTCTGGCCTTCTCTTGCACCCTGCATTAGTTCCTATGAGCTCTGGTAATTTGTAATTATTTGTGTTTGCATTATCGCTGCCGATATTTGAATTTGTTAGGCGATAACTACGTTATTATGAGCTGAATTGCTTATGACGTGTTACTGAGCCAGCTTATATTAAAATTAAATTGTGTGGTCTTTGACTATTTGTCCACATTTGTAGTTTGAATTTGACTGTTTCTGTTTAATTAGATCACCATTAAGCTGTAGCTGATTTTGTTAGCATAAGAACATGCCTTTATGTTCTAAGGTCTATTTAAATAGGAGGTAGGTTTTTTTTTTAAACCTTTATCTGACTTTGTAGTTATTTTTAGACATAGTGATAATTTGCTTCATCTCTATCAGGGGTTTTTGACTATTTAACTCTTACCAGATCAAGTAAAACCTCATAGGTACTTTGTCGAGAGATTGCCATGTTAGGAGACAAAACACGCAGAAACTAGTGGGAATATTGGATTGCATATTGAAACAAATTTCTAATAGTTAGAAAAGATGCTTGAAGCGAAGGAAATTACAATAAATTAGCCAAAATGTCTGGAAAGGCTTGAAATTAAAAAGATGCATGAATATTTTGTTCTGTTGGTACAATATGTAAATGTTTTGTAGCTTTTAATGTGTAGTTATCGTAATATAATTTAAGAATCAGTGCCATAAATAATGTGTATTTTAAAATGCGACATGTTAATTATTTGCTATTTTAATAGTGCTTTTTAACAAATATTTTTAAAAAATAAATTTAATAGTGGCCATGTAAATCTGTGATGACTAAGGTTATTTGTAACGAGATAATTTAATTACTTGTAACTATCTGGTCACCCTTTAAAGTTATGTTTGCATATCAAAGTGAGTTATTACCTTTTATTAATCTTTACCATGGTCACAAGATACAGCACAAAAGTGTAAAAACTAACATGAAACTTAATTCTTTGCATCTAGTGAGATTTAAATTAATACAAAAGAGCGTATCACCTCTGGTGATTTAGTGGCTTTTTGGAACCTTAAAATATATTAACTGGGTTACAGCCCCAGGAACTCTACACGAAGTTATGACTGCGTCAGACAAGCAGAGCACAACTAACTTTCAAAACTTGCCAACCGTGCCTACATAAGGCTTTCAGGTTTATTCTGATCAGTAGGCCTCTCTCTAGGTAAGCAGCAGTGGTAGCAACAGCCAGTCTTCTGTAACGAATCATGCTGATTCTGACTTTGTTTCTCATTTTAACCTATGCCATTTGACATAAAATCTATCTGTTATTTACTAAATCTCTAAACTGAGCAAGTACATGACAAAATGAGACATAAAAGGAAAAAAAATCAACATAAAGCTAACTGTTAGTAAAACATTTAAAATGTCACTAATCGTCTTTCAAATATGACCAATTATTATAAGGGCAAAATACTTAATGCTACCTGATAAATTTTATAAAGTTTATTTTATACTCAAATTTGCCTTATAATTATGTTTATTAAATTATGTTTAATAATAATGTATTCTACTTGTGGATCTGTTTTATTCTTAAGATGGTATCACAAAAGTGATGTTCAGGCATAGCTGATATTTTTAATTGAATTTATTCAGTTCCAGATTTGTTGATGAGCCCTTAATTTTTTTCAGTAATGGTCCTTAAAAGTATTTAATTTTCATGTGCAGAAATCTGTATGAACCCTGCTAAATCCAGCTTTCATGCAGTCAGTTTATGGTTTCTTTGAGCCAAAAAAGACAGAAAACATGTCTTCAGATGCAGTTATTGTTTTTATCATCTTTGACTAGGCTGTCTAGTAACTGATTTACTGGTTTAAAAAGTGGTTTCAAGTTCTTAACTCTTTGAAGAAACTTTTTTAATAAGAGGAAACTTCAAATCGTTGGATGATCTCCATTTGCAGTTGCTTCCACCCTTTCTGAGTATACTAGTATTCCACCACTTTTGCTCTTCACTTAAATGTGATTTTTGAGTCATAACTAATGAATATTGATCACTTTCAGAAACCATTTTAACTTTAAATAAAACTATGCATTCAAATTTCAACATACATCCATTGCACAATCCATTGTTTGTCACTTAATTTGCATGTTTCATTCTAATCTTTGCACAGCAGTCCAAATTTGCATTCACCTTACAGGTATTAAACATAAATAATTACATTGGTGGGTACTGAGTGAAAAGTTTTGTGTGAGTATATTAATTTAAATAGTTCTTTAGTTTTTGTCAACAATGTATAAACATGTGATTTCTTTGCTAAAAAAAAGTTCAGATAAAAAAAGTTACAGCAAAAAGCCAATGCCAGTTGTAAAATATATCACATATTGTAAACTATATCACACATTTGCAATATTTTTAAATCTGTAGAATTATAAATTATGTACATTGTGCTTCCCAGAATTGAAATGTACATTCTGTAGTTTACATCTATGTTACTTAGTTGTTTGAACCAAATATTTAATTATCATGTATGTAATAAATTTCAAATAAAACAAAAATGTAAAAAATTCTGATCTCTGTGATTGAATATAGAATAACTTTTTTTAGAGAATGCAGTTAGTTTTAATGCTGATGGCTGGATTGGAATATGTACCGATTAACATCAATGTAGTAAGTGCAACAAATATAAATACTCTATGATACTTTTAGCAGACTGCTGTTTGAAAATAAGTATTTAAAATATTTAACCTTTTTCAGGGGAAAATTAGTTATGGAACTGGTGTATCTTTCTTTGAAAACCAGCCAAATTTTCAAAATTCTGATATCTATGGATATTATAAAGTAAGTTTAAAAATTTCTTAATACATCAATTTATCATAGCACAGTAAAAGGATTACAGAGAATTTTCCTTGTAAGAAATATCTGAAATAATGAATATGAATGAAAGGTTTTTGTTGTTTTTTGATACTGTTGGTTAGCATGTGTTTTTAAAATAGAATTTTTAAATCATTAAACAAATATAAAAATCTGAAAGCTTTCAGATTTTACATTATGCCCGAGGGGGGTGTTTTTTAACATTTTGTATGTTACCTTTATTTATTAAATATCATGTTCTTCACCCTTGAACCATAAATTTCAGTTCAATAGCAATATCGCAAAATAATTTTAAAATAAGTATATCATTAGAATTTCTGATATACAGTCTCGCACACTGGAGATAAAAATGTATTTTCTCTACAACGTCACCATTGCTGCCCTTGAAATCCTTAAGTTTGTTAATCAAAAATTCATTAAAGCATTAAAAAATATGAAATCGATAATGAAACAAATTCCAAATTTGGGCTTCCAGATGCCCATATTTGGGTGGAAATGAATGTTATTCAAAATTTGCTGGCTCTAGGTACTGTTGTTTTATCACAATGCAAAAAACATACATACATTTAAGCAGATTCTTCATTATTTAATTTCTTTAAGTATAATACAGGCCTCTAATATTTTGTGGCAACAATTTGAAAAGTGATTCAACGTTTATAGTGAATCAACACAAAATGCCAAAATGAAATTAATAGCCCTTCTGGGCTTTAAAAAAAAAAAAAAAAAAAAAACCTTTATTTAACCCTTTTTTTAATTACTTACCATCTACATTAATCTAAAGGAACCTTAGATTAATGTAGATTTTTTATGCACCTTGTAAAGAGGGATCCATGCTAAATTGCCCTTGAAATTGATAGAGTTTATCCAAAATCAGTGCCAATCTAAGATAGCTATTTTTACTTAATATAAAATTGTTTTATATTGACATAATCAGTACAAGATTTTATACCTATATATAATTCTACATTTTTGCTTTTCCTATTGCACAATTATACTTGTTATCTAATGAGTGTTATGTATGCTGTTTTCTTTTTGGTGTCAAATGTTAAGTTTTTAAATAAAGATTAGAAATTTAAGGTTATAAAGTGTAAATATGCATTTTTTAAATATTTGTGTAAAATTTTTAATATGCATTTTAAAAATGAGTTTTTTTAAAACTCTTTTAATTTCTTAAACACTTTTATAAAATTTAAGTCTTTGGGCAATTCATTTTTTCTAGTGTTATTTTTTTATGCATGTTTATTTTTCCCTTTTATTTAGTGTAATTTTTTCCCCCATTTCCTTTTAAGAATTCACCTAACAAGGTACCTAAAAATAGTTTTCCAAGTGACGATACAGAACTTGCTGCATATGACAGTGCTGTTGAAGTAACGACAGATTTTGTAGCTTCAGGTGATGCAAGTCCAGAAAATCAAAAGTCAACTTTTGATATAGAAAATTCATTGCACAAACAAAATTCTGGTTTTGTAGAGAGTATTGCATGTCAAAACTTACCACAACAGGATTTAGAAAGAATTTCTCACTATATTAACATTGACACCAAAAATGAAACTAAAGTGACTGAAGATTTAGAAGTTATTCGCACAAAAGTGGTGAGGAGAGCAAAGAGGTCATGTCAAAAGTCATTTTCGGACAATGATAAAAGTGAGAATTCATTAACTAATCCAACAGGTAATGAAAAGAAAAGTCATTCATTACAAGAATATGATAATTCTCTCGATCATCGTTTGAGTAAAGCTACAAATGATTCAGGCCTTTGTCTTGAAACGCCATGCACATCTGATAGTGAGTCAAATGATTTTGCTGATGAAGCTGGAACTTCAGATGTTTGTCATTCAACATCTTTTAATGTTGGGGAATTTCATCCTGATTTGAATGTTACATTTTCCATTCCATTAAGAAATGAAATTGAACTTCATGAAATATCTACTCAAATGGCAGAGAACAGTAAACCTTCACTTGAAGAGAGAGGAATCCCAGAAGGTCAAGAGGATCCTATTAAAAACACATGCAAAATTCAAAATGTATCAAATCGTTTGCCCCTGCAGGTTGGTGACGATGGAGCGGAGGATAATGCAGAAGAGGAGGAAGAGGAAGAGATATCAATTTATGATATGTCTAAAATATCATATTTTACTCCGACTCCAAGTTCACCAAAAATTATTGACATTTCCAATGATGCCGAAGAAAAGCCTTGCCCAGGTACTTGTAAAGGAAATTCAGAAACTAAAGATATTGTTTTAGATGAAATCGAGAAGTTAGCTAAAGAGAAGCCTGAGGATTTAGATATAAAGTAAGAAGAGAGATTTATATTCTTTAAATTATTAAATTTCTTATATTTTTAAATTAAAGTCACTTGTGTAATTACTAATACAGTACAAAGTCTTTAATCTGGACGTCTGTAATCCGGAATGATCTATAATCCGGACCTCAAAGCTACAAACTTTCTGACAATGTGTAGCATTTACGCATGCGCATAATATATTTATGCATGCACGTTTAATGTATAACAGACAATATAAGCTAGGATAAATTATCTAATTATCTATTTCAGTTAATGTTGCAGATTGCGTTGTTCCTTAATCTTCTAATTGGATATGGCTTATTATTTTTTGCAGACTGTTAGAACAATTTTATAAAAAATAAGCTTGAACTGGCAAATCTTTGGAATATGGGAACAGGTAGTTTGGCGACATTTTGGTAAGGCGATAAAGGTTACTAGCTAGGACTTTAGCAGTGTACATGGATAAAGTCAAGAGTGTGCGCAATGCCATTTTTGTGCAATTCTGGGATGTTTTTTTAAGTAAAAATAGGTTGACATGTACATGGATAACGTGTATGTGCAATTCTTAAAAACGTGGCAAGCAGTTTGCGATTCTGCACTTTCTCCAATTTCGCACCTAATCTTTGTCATAATTAAGCACTTTTGTTCCATAAAAGTTCTAGCATAAGCGTAATTCGGCTAGCAGATTGTTAGAAAAAATGTTGAGTTAAAAAAAAAAAATGTCGTCCAAACAAAAACTAGCAGGTTGCTGTAGCAGGGTTGGTCGGCAAATTTTCGCCAAAAAGTCGCCAAGTTACCATAATCCAAAGATTAACCCTTGAACTTTCGATTATGTCAAAAAGAGTTTCCAATTCTGGAGCTGCCAAAGGATCTACAAAGTGAAAGCATGTTTCGATGTCCATCAAACAAAAAGTGGAATTGCTTCAAAAATGGATAAAGGCATGAAGAAAGTGACAGAGCGGTTAGTGAGAACGAAAAAATTTTGATTGACAAGTTAGTCGGTATTCTCGGCACAGCAATTAGAGGACTTGAACAGCGGAACTTTGTAACTGAACAAGCAATTATGTCTGTTTTTAAAATTAAAGAGAAAGTATTAGCACATAAAACAAAGCAATTTAAACAACTTACATTGAAAGAAATGTTTAATAAAGTAAACAAACAAATATTAAGCTTTTTTTTTTAGTAAATTTTGATACCCTTTATATCATAATTGCCCTTTATTTCATAAATTATGGTTTCATATTTTTAATTTTATAACTTCTGCGTGCCATCTTACCAGATTTAAATTGATGATTTATAATCTGGAAAAACCCCTAATCTGGAATTGCCGAAGTCCCAAAGAGTCCGGATTAAAGACTTTGTACTGTATATGTTTGATACATACTTGCATAATTTTGATACTCTATTAATTGTTTAATACAGTTTCTTTTGTTTTTGCGACTTTAAATTTTTAAAGATCAAATTAAAGACATAATTTCAAAGAGAAAAATTTTATATTGATTAGAAAGATCTAATTTTAATAATTAAAAAAATGGTGAATGCTAAATAACTTTAGAAGCATTTTAGGTCCATAACATATCTATTTACTTTGTATGTATATGTGTGTATATACCATTATTCATCATCATCATCTGTATCAGACCCAAAATTTTCTCTTTGCCTTATGAATCATATGGACACATCCTCATAAAAGTACGTAAGCAATTTTTTTTTTTTTTTTGTATTTTCCATTATAAGAAGACAGGCATCAAACAGTTTTCTTTCGAAAGATGTGGGTTAGTTGGATACTTAGTCGTATGTTAATTTATTCTTGCTTCTGTGAATTCATATGAAGACAGTAGAATAAAGGCTAAAAATTTGATTGAGCTTAATTGATATTGTTGCTTGTTGGCAACCTTTAAATTAAATATGTAACTTTTATCTTTTATAATGGCATTCTTGTTTTCAAGCTGTGCATTCCCAGTAAAACTTTTAAAACCAGTTTAGTATGTAACTGAATTTCAGTTCTCTGTATATTGAATAATTAACTATGAGACATATTTCTACTATATAATATAAATATACTAATAATTCAGATCAATTTATAATAAGAAATATTATATTAGTATATATATATTATGTACTATATATACAATATATATAACACTATATATTTTCTACTACTGATTTTAAAAAAATTACTACTATGACATTGTGTAATGGGAAAGATCTAATTATTTATATGTCAATTTTTTTAAATTTTACATTGAGCGGCAGTAAATAGTATATAGTGCAAAGCTCAAAATCAAGAATCAACAAGACTTTGGCAATTTTGGAAATTTTCAAATTTTTTAAATCATCAATTAAAATTTAGTTAGATTATATATAAAAAATATAAAATTAAAAAAAGGAAAGATAAGTTGTGAAAAAAAAGTAAAGATAAGTTACAGTTTTTCACAACTTGATTGTTCAAATCTTGCAACTACTGTGTCAAGAATTCCCATTAAATAGTCAGTTGGAACCTTTTTCACAAATGCTTTGTCGCTTTTTCATAAATGATGGCAATATTTTCAGGATTTCAAACCGTACTACAGGTTTTGCTGTTCATTAATTGAATGATGACTGGGGCATTGTCATCTTAATAAAGATTTCAGCTCTCTTCTCTTCATTTAGCAGTTTTTCATGTAATCCATTAATTGGAAAATTTCATGTTCCTTTTGTCAAAACCACTTACTTGCCTCTTTTTTTGTTTGCAGTATTTCCTCACTGTTAGACGTCGTCAGTCTAGGTTTCTTTCCTGACACAGCCATGTTTTTCATGCAATCTAAGTTTACCCCTGCTAATTGAAATGAATTTTTATAATTTGGAATTTTACAAGAGATGGACTTGTGCTGTTAAATTGCTGTTATTCAATTATTTTTCAAGAAAGAGGCATGCTGCTCAAAGAAAGATTGTGTTTGAATAACTACTTCATGAAATTTAAATTTGATTCCAAGCTGAATAATGTATAAATAATGTATTTTCTGCCATTTTGTCTTATTGCAGATTTTGCTCTCCATTAATCAATTGATCGCTGTTGAATAATCTCAATGGATAATTTCAGTTTTATCATTTTCATTTTGCACTTTTTATATATTCCACTAATTAAAATTTTGCTTTTTGCTTATGAATTATCTAAAAATTTTCAAATAAACAGCTGTCATTAATATGAAATATGGTAGCTTGATTATTGACAGGTCCGGCTGCAGCATTTTGCGCTGCTGAAGGCGATTATTAAGTTTGATGCCTTGTAAAAATAAAGCATTTTCAAAATTCAAATTGAAATGTACATTGAATTTAATTGGCTTTTGTGAGACTAACTTAAATGGCATCTTTTAAATGTTGATACTGTAGGCAACTGCCTTCTTGTTATACCTGTGTAAGCATTAAAAAATTTATCTGCATACTTGTCCTCTCATGATCATGCAATGCTCTATAAATTCTGATTTTACATTGAGATATTCCAAGAATTCTTGGATGGTTTTATTGCTGTGTCAGTTATAAAAGGCTATTTTATATCTCCATTTCAATGCTGGCAGAATTCCAGTATTCATTGGTTGATTGATGGATATATAGTTTCTTGGGAAGATTAAAACAATAATATTTTAATAAAAGTGTAATTTTTATTTGATTAACAGTAATAGTAACAGTTTGAACAAAATAAAAAGATGAATAAAATAAAAAAGTTAATGAAAAGTGCAATTTGCAGAGCTAATTGAGCTTAAGTTAATTGGAATCTAATTTTTTATTTTCTTCCATAATATGCCTGCAAAAGGAAACCAATCCATATACACTGCCCCCCCAAGAAAAGGACAATTTGAATATTAGAATAAAATCAAAAGGAAAAATTATTAAAAAATGCTTTTCTTTAAATCCCCTTCCTCAAGTTTTTTTGTTTGTTTTAGTCAAAGATTACTGATTTCTTTCTAAGTTTCGTCTTCCAGATGTGGCTAGTAAGTTTAATATTCAATTAATTATGCAATATATAGTCAGTATTTATATCATTTATGTAAACTATATATATATACAGTACAAAGTCTTTAATCAGGATGCCCATAATCGGGAATGATCTATAATCCAGACCTCAAAGCTACAAACTTTCTGCGCATGCGTAAATGCATAATGCGTTTATGCATGCGCATATGCGTTTACACATGTGCATAATACCTTTATGCATGCACATATGCGTTTATGCATGTGCCATAATAAGTTTACGCATGCATGTTTAATGTATAACGGACGGTATAAGCTAGGCTAATATTATATAATTTACTATTCCTGTTAATGTTGCAGATTGCATTTTCCTTAATCTTCTAATTGGATCCGGCTTATTATTTTTTGCAGACTGTTAGAACAATTTTTAAAAAGTAAGCTTGAACTTTCGATTATATCACAAAGAGTTTCCGATTCTGGAGCTGCCAAAGGATCTACAAAGCAAAAGCGTGTTTCGATGTTCATCAAACAAAAAGTGGAATTGCTGCAAAAATAGATAAAGCAAGAAGAAAGTGACAGAGAGGTTAGTGAAAACGAAAAAATTTCAATTGACAAGTTAGTCGGTATTCTCGCACAGCAATTACAGGACTTGAACAGTGGAAACTTTGTAACTGAACAAGAAATTATGTGTTATAGAATTAAAGAGAAAGTATTAGCACATAAAAAAAGCAACTTAAACAACTTACATTGAAAGAAATGTTTAATAAAGTAAACAAATAAATATTAAGCTTTTTTTTTTTGTAAATTTTGATACCCTTTAGATCATAATTGCTCTTTATTTCATAAATTAGGTTTCATATTTTAATTTTATAATTTCTGCATGCCATCTTACCAGATTTAACTGAGATTAAATCTGGAAAAATAATCCGGAATCGCCGAAGTACTCGCGCGTCGGATAAAGAAAATTGATAATTTACTATTGTCCGAGATTTTGGATGTTATTTAAGCGGCAGAGATAGTAATCGTCAACAACAGAAATGAGAATTGTTAGGAGAAGG